TTTTTCAGGGACGTTGCCCACTCTTGACCAATTTTACACGGATGTTGCCCACCCTTGACCAATTTTACACGGACGTTGCCCACCCTTGACCAATTTTACAGGAACGTTGCCTAGTCTTGACCAATTTACAGAGACATTGCCCACTCTTGACCTGTTTAGAGTGACGTTGCCCACTGTTGACCAGTTTAGAGTGACGTTGCCCACCCTTGACCAATTTTACGGGGACGTCGCCCCGTCTCACTGAGATTTACCAGGACGTTACCCAGCCTGGAGGGTTTTACTGTCTGGGCCAGAGAGTTGCAGTGATGGAGGGAGATTGGACAGACCGGGCTTGTTTTCCTTAGAGAAGAGGAAATGGAGAGAGATTGGAGGGTGGGGGGAGGTGGTACGATTGAGATGCACAGAGCCGTAGAGACGTGTACAGCACGGAAGCAGGCTCTTCAGTCCAACCCGTCTGTGCCGACACAGATACCCTAAATCAATTCAGTCTCACTTGGCCCATATCCCTGTAAACCTTTCCTTTTAAATGTTGTAAATGTACCCAGGCCCCCACCCACTTCCTCTGGCAGCTCGTTCCATACACGCACCACCCTCTGCATGGGAAAAGTTGCCCTTAGATCTCTTTCCCCCCTCACCTTAAACCTATGTCCCTCTAGTTTTGACCCCCCCCCCAAGATCTCTCTGTTTGACATCACCCCCCAGAAACGCACTAGTTATGAGGGGAGTGTAGATAGGGTAGACAGGAAGGAACTTCTCCCCTTTGATGGAGGGATCAATGACAGGGAGTGGGGGCATGGCTTGAGGGTGTGGGGACAGGAGGTTCAAAGGGGATGTGAGGAGCAACTTTTTCGATCAGAGGGCCTGGGAATCTCTGCCCCCCACAGCGCCAGAGACCCTGGTTCGATACCATCCTCGTGCGACTGCGTGTACGGGGTTGGAGTTGTACGTTCTCCCCTGGGCGTGGTTTCCTGCCACGGTGCAGGGATGTGCAGGTTAGGGTGGATTGGCCGTGCTAAATTACCCACAGTGCCCAGGGATGTGCAGGTTAGGGTGGATTGGCCGTGCTAAATTACCCATAGTGCACAGGGATATGCAGGTAAGGGTGGATTGTCCATGTTATGTTACCCATAGTGCCCAGGCGTGTGCAGGTTAAGGTGGATTGGCCATGCTAAATTACCCATAGTGCCCAGGGATGTGCAGGTTAGGGTGGATTGGCCATGCTAAATTACCCATAGTGCCCAGGGATGTGTGGATTAGGGTGGATTGGCTGTGCTAAATTACCCACAGTGCCCAGGGATGTGCAGGTTCGGGTGGATTGGCCGTGCTAAATTACCCATAGTGCACAGGGATATGCAGGTAAGGGTGGATTGTCCATGTTATGTTACCCATAGTGCCCAGACGTGTGCAGGTTAAGGTGGATTGGCCATGCTAAATTACCCATAGTGCCCAGGGATGTGCAGGTTAGGGTGGATTGGCCGTGCTAAATTACCCACAGTGCCCAGGGATGTGCAGGTTAGGGTGGGTTGGCCATGGGAAATTACCCATAGTGCCCAGGGATGTGTAGATCAGGGTGGATTGACCATGCTAAATTACCCACAGTGCCCAGGGATGTGCAGGTTAGGGTGGATTGGCTTTGCTAAATTACCCACAGTGCCCAGGGATATGCAGGTAAGGGTGGATTGTCCATGTTATGTTACCCATAGTGCCCAGGCGTGTGCAGGTTAAGGTGGATTGGCCATGCTAAATTACCCATAGTGCCCAGGGATGTGTGGATTAGGGTGGATTGGCTGTGCTAAATTACCCACAGTGCCCAGGGATGTGCAGGTAAGGGTGGATTGGCCATGCTAAATTACCCATAGTGCCCAGGGATGTGCAGGTAAGGGTGGATTGAATGTGCTAAATTACCCATAGTGCCCAGGGATGTGCTGGTTAGGGTGGATTGGCCAAGCTAAATTACCCATAATGCCGAGGGATGTGCAGGTTAGGGTGGATTGGCCGTGGGAAATTGTCCCATAGCGTCCTGGGCTGGGTGGGTTAGCCGTGGGAAATGCAGGGTGGCAGGGATAAGGTATGGAGTGGGTCTGAGTGGGATATTCTTCGGACGGTCGGTGTGGACTCGATGGGCTGAGCGGCCTGCTTCCACACTGTAGGGATTCTATTCTATGACTGTCTGTGCGGAGTTGCAGGTGAGTGTGGGTTGGCCGTGGGTATTGTGGGTTCATGGGGACACTATGTGATGCAGACTGAACAGGCCAAATGGCCTGTTTCCACACTGATTGTATACACTGACGTATTCAGGGGTACTGTTGTAATGCCAAGGCCAGGGGTCGAGTGCAGGGACACGGGATGAGATGGGCCGAAGGGCCGGTTTCTGTTACTGCAAACCTCACTATTTGCTAACTTTGCATTCGTTGGGAATTCCAGTGCGTTTTCTCTCCCCACTTCCAGAAAATTCCGTGCTCACTCCCTCATCCCCGTCCCTCCCTACCTCCATCACCTCCTGCAGCCCCGACAATCCTCACCCTCCTGTTCCAATCCCCTCCCTTCCTATCTCCGTCACCTCCTCCAGCCCCCTACAATCCTCACCCTCCTGTTCAAATCCCTCCCTCCCTATCTCCGTCACCTCCTCCAGTCCACTACAATCCTCACCCTCCTGTTCAAATCCCTCCCTCCCTATCTCCGTCACCTCCTCCAGCCCCCTACAATCCTCACCCTCCTGTTCAAATCCCTCCCTCCCTATCTCTATCACCTCCTCCAGCCCCCTACAGTTCTCGCCTTCCTATGTAGTTTCTCTCATGCTGTGAGTAGAGTGTGTTGTGCTAACCGTCTGTCTGCCCTGTGTGTGTCCAGGTCGTTCTCCCATTCACCATGTCCCTCGCTGACGAGCTCCTGGCCGACCTGGAGGAGGCTGCCGAGGAAGATGAGGAGAGTTTCGCTGACGAGGAGGATGAGGAGACCATCGAAGTGGTGGAGGAGGAGATGCAGCTGGACCTGGGGGTCGACTCTGTCAAGAGCATCGCGAAACTCCGCGACAGCAAGCTGGTCAGTAACTACCCACACTACACCCCCCCAGCACTACTGAGGGAGCGCCGCAATGTCGGAGGGAGATGGATATACTCAAGGGGGGACTCGAGCTCCATAATCCAGGCCGACACTCCCTCCCTCCC